AAAACACCATATTGAATTACAACCAAGTAGCAAACCATGTAACTCTCCACCCTATCGTTACGCTCCAGCACGTCGCAAAGTCATCGAAGAAGAACTCAATGCAATGTTGAAAGAAGGCGTTATTATTCCATCTAAAAGTCCATGGGCAGCTCCGGTAGTACTAGCCCCTAAAAAAGATGGAACGATGCGTTTCTGCATCGACTATCGTAAACTCAACAACCTTACAATACGAGATGCATATCCATTACCTCGTATCGATGATACTTTAGATGCACTACAACAAGCTCAGTTTTTCTCAACGCTCGATCTTCGATCTGGCTACTGGCAAGTAGAAATGGATGAAGCTAGTAAACCTCTTACGGCGTTCGTGACCCACAGAGGTCTATTCGAATGTACAGTTATGCCGTTTGGTCTTACCAATGCTCCAGCAACATTTCAAAGACTTATGGATATCGTCTTAGCAGGGCTTAAATGGCAATGTTGTCTCGTATATCTAGACGACATTATCGTATTTTCCACCACATTTGAACAACATCAGTATGACTTACGAAAAGTCTTTACCGCTTTATCCGAAGCAAATCTAACACTCAAAGCGTCAAAATGTAATTTTTGCCTCCCAGAAATCAAATATCTAGGACATTTAGTCACTTCAGAAGGTATTAAACCAGATCCTGCACTTATTGAAACAGTAGTCGAATTCAAACAACCGGCTACAGTTAAAGAAATTCAAGCCTTCCTCGGACTCACCGGTTACTATCGACGATTTATTAAAAATTATGCTCAAATTTCAGAACCTCTTCTGAAATTATTAAGATCTAACCAAAACACAACAACACGTTCACCTATACAATGGAACGATGACTGCACAACAGCGTTTAATACATTAAAACAACGACTTGTATCACCACCCATTATGCAACCTCCAAACTTTTCTTATCCATTTATATTGGAACTAGACGCATGTGAATATGGTATTGGATGTGTCCTAACTCAAGAATATGATAAACACAAATATGTTATTGCATACGCCAGCCGAACACTTAATACGGCCGAAAGAAATTATAGTGCAGTCGAACGTGAAGCTCTCGCTATAGTCTGGGCAACCAAACATTTTAGACAGTATATAGAAGGAGGTCCAACCATAGTCCGTTCTGACTGTAAAGCTCTACAGTGGTTAAAAAATACCAA